CTTCCCAAAGTCTCTTCATGTGGATCAATTTTTTGCGGGATTCCCTTCATGGGTTATACCGGTTGCACGCGCGCTGTTTTGTTTGGCTCTATTATATATATTTCTCTACTTAATTCTTTCATGAGGATACACCTCTTTGCAGCATTTCTTTGACGAGAATTCTTTGGAGGGTTCCTTTATAATGACATTTTTCGCAGCACCTCTATGAAGATACCACTTCTCTTGGCATTTGTATGAATATGCCCTTATTTGCTGTATTTTTATCACGATTCTTTTTGTGTAGCTTCTTCATCATGTTGCATCTCTTCTCCTGCATTGTTATGGTGCTCTCCCTCCGGATCATTGTGCTGTTGTGGTGTTACGTCACTGTGATGTGTACTGCTCTGTCGCGGAATTCTGATACTTTTTCTGTGTGTTGCATTTCTCTAAGGATGCTTATATTTGACATGTCACTATAATAATGCTTCTTTGTGTTACATTTTCGCATAGCTACATCCTCCCTGTTGTGTCAATATGAAGATGTCTGTGTGTGTGGCATTTTTTTCAGGATGATATTTCCTGTTGCATTCTTATGAATTTCTGTTCCTTTAGGGCTGCTCATGGTGAAGTGTATCTTCTCTGTGGGGTATGTTCCTTCCCAAGATTCATTTTATCGCGGTGGACTCTTAATATATTCCTTCGCTCGTCATCCTTATAGAGATGGTTTCTTCTGGCGTGTCACTATGAAGATTCTTGTTTGTGCTTCATTTCCTTTCTCATGATATTTCTCTGTTCGGGGGCCGCGATGAGGGTCGCCCGTGCCACGTCATTGTGAGAATTTTGGCTTCTGTGGCATCTGTTTTACGAAGACTCCTGTGACCGCGTTATATCGATGATATTTTTCTGTTTGGCTGTTTTATAAAGATGGTTCTTCCTTTTATCATTTTACTGCGAAGGCATTCTTTTGCGAGGCCTATTTTTTATGAAGATATATTCTTTCCGAGGCATTCCTATGATGCTATTTTCCGGCGGCAGCCTGAATATATTGTTCTGTGTTATCTGTTTTATATGGATGCTCCTTCCTCCACCGGCATCGTGAAGATGTTTTTTTCTGTGTCAGTTTTTTTACGTTGATGTACCTTCCTCGCGGAATTCTTAAGATGTCCCTCGGTGTGTGATTTCCTGTATGAAGATTCCCCTTCTGCGCGGCAGGGTATAAGACTCTCTCTTGTTTTTTATTCTTTTTATGAAGATGTTCTCTTGTCCTAGTATCCTCAGTATGTTTCTTTGTCGCGTCATTCTGAAGATGTCCCTTTGCCTTCATTATTGTGGAAATGTATTTTCAGGCCGCATCATTGAGAAGATGTCCTTTTGGTCGCATCCCTGTTTATATGCTGTATTGTATGTCATTCTTCTTTATTAGAATTTCTTCTTCCGTAATATTCTGATCGCCTTTTTTTTTCTTTCTATGCGGAGCCATTATGAAGATATTCTCTCTCTTTGGCTATTTAGGAAGAAGGCGACATATGTGAAGTGTAAATATCATATGCATACTGATGTGGTAACATTACAAAACAGGAATAATATACCCATGTGTAAAAGGGCACTTTCTTCCCTGGTGTATTATTGCTTTTGAAGTGATGATGTTCATTGAGTTGTATTAGGTGAATAGCGGTTTTACCTGGATAACACTGTTATTGGGAAAACACACTTGTGTCTAGGGTATGGATATCCAGGAATTTTATTGCATGGAAAATACTGATGTGTGTATAGTATTCATATCCGTAGAATACTAAGATGCTTATCGGTTCGTTACATCAGCACCACAATCCCGCGTGGGGTACTCTTCTTTGCAGAATAGTGGTTTGCGCTTTTAACGCCGTTGCAGCGGCCGGATGCTCGTGTTGTAGTATCATGTGAAGTGCATGAATATTCTACAACTCTCGTTTAAACCGTACCAATTTGTGTGGATTCGCAATAGTCCGCAATCCAGAGATTCTCATGGTACCATTATATGAAGATTCTAATAGATCAACTATCTGCATGACGTCTAGTCGTATCCTACTAATCTGCACCCTTATATGTTCGGAGTTCTGTCATAATCAATATCATTATATTCAAAATAGTATGCTATGGAGGAGTACATGTGTGTCAGGAGTACCGTCATGTTAAGAGTATTGTTGTGTGGATTATACGTTTATTTAAATAGCACACTCCCTTACTGAGTATTCATGATTTGCAATAACAATATGCGGAGAGTGCAGACGTATGTATAATACTCATATGTGGAAATAGCCGACATGCTTGGTACACCGCTATTTGGATCATGGCGAGGTCAAAACAGTCGTATTAAGTGATGTATTCGGGTAATAGGATATATGGGGCGTAAACTTCTACCATTTGCGGAGACCTATTGTATGAGCAGTGCAGAAACTCCAGTAGATTTCTTATGTGAAGAATACTTTTGCGTTGAGTGTGTTAATGTGTGAAGTACACTGTTAATTTAAGAAAAGTACTGTTATGTGGGGGGCGGTGTACCTGGATGAATAAGTCTATCCTTGGGTTATCATGAAGTCAAGTGTCTTGATTTAAGTTTAATGACTTGATTACATGAAGTGCAGGATTGCGCAAATTCTAGGAGTCATCTGTAATACTATTACTTAAAGAGTATTGTTACTCCAGGAGTATTATGATATTAGGAGTACTTTTTTGTCTTGAGTATTGATCTTCCAGGAGTGCTATTATGCTATGGGTACCATTCTATCCGCACTTATATGCCTTCATTAGTAGGACAATATGTGTCGTACTATTCTTTAGAGAGTACGCGTGTACAGGTAATACCGTTATGTTAACAATACTCCTGTTTGGATTATACCTCCCTTCGAAGTGCACAGTTGTATAGCAGCATTGATGACTCGAAGTATTATTGTGTGAAGAATACATAAATATAGGCCGTACTCATAGCTGCAAAGTGCTAATATCCCTGCTACATTCTTATTCGAAGCATCAGAAGCTTACGATAGTACTGTCAAGTAATTTATGTTGAAGCAGATAAGATATATGGTATAATGTTTTATCATATGCAGAGCTTTACACTATGAATGGTATGACTGTTCCCGTAATAGTTTTATATGACGGATACTATGCTATCAACCACGTGGACCTGTTCAGTGTTGCGTCATTTGAGGAGTATTACGGTTATATACAGAATGGTGTCCCCAGAGGAACATGCCTGTCTTCGAAGTGCCATTATGTGAAGGGTCTGGTTTTAAGTTTACTGGCCCAATTATATGAAGTGCGGGATCGTACAGCCCTTAACGGATGTCAGCAACACCATGATTTCGATAGTACTATGGTGCCAATAGTACTATGATGTGAACCATACTTGTGTGTTTGAAATATTGATATTCCACGAGTGTCATTATTTGGAGAATACTATTCCGTCGAGTTTATGGATATTACAGGAAGACTATTGCTTATACAGTACGGATGCCTATGGATTTCCAATGGTCATGATTACAGAAGTTGTCGTAGTATCGTTATATGAATGTACTAATGGATGAGCTGTGGTAATATTTGTTGTGCATTGTATTCTGAATAGAATACCTCCGTGGGAAGTATGGATAATCTGGAGCTGTAATTTGTGAGTATATTCCTATGTACGTAGTAGTGTCGTTTAGGAAGTAGAGTTGTTCGCACATTATGGATGTGTCAGAAGCACAATTATTTGAAGGGTCTGAAAATCGAGGGGCAGGATTTCGGCTTCTATTATACTCACAAAACTACTGTGTGGAACTTGTAGCAGTCCCTGAAGTATTATTATTTTAAGAGTGGTGCATTGCGTGATGCTTCATGACTTTAGCAGCACCGCTCTACCAAGTGTAGGGATATCTTTAGATTACCCTTGTGTGAGAATAACTTCTTAAGATCAAGTATTGATATTCCCAGAGTACTATCAAGTGAATAGTCCAAATGTCTGCCGAGTATTCATATGGGGGGAATAACATTCTGGGGATGAGTACTACAGTGCCCCTAGTACTATGATTTAAATACTACTGACATGCAAAAGCTAACATTATTTCTACCCTGTATGTGTGTCTCAAGAATACTATTATATGAATGACACCATTGAAGGAAGTTCACACATATACGTGCTGTAGTATTATATAGTGAGCACAACTGTATGAGATGGTGGGACATGCATCAAGTGTCCATGGTTGAGAAGTAAAAGTCTGTACGGGCACTATTATTATATGGGGGTCAAGGGATGATACAAGTACTATACGGAGGACTAAATCGTTTGAACCTTGGAAGCCACCTGGAACAGAATTACTTGAGGAGTACTGATATACCAGTGTTCATTCCATATGGAAAGCGTGAGTATATGAAGAGTGCCATTCTGTGAAGTCCACCAACATCTTGAATGCAGTACTATGTGAAATGTAGGGATATCCTGAGGGATTGTTATCTGAAAAGGCTCCTTGTGGCTGGATTGCCCTTATTTGAAGAACACATCTGTGTAAAGGGTAAGGATATCTTCCAGTGTTACTGTATATGAAGCGTATCCAGGTGTCCGTAATACTTATATGTATCGAGTAGTAACATGCTTATTGTATGATATTTGAAGAATGGAAGCACGCCTTGGATACCATTATTTATAAAGTACTAGTATCAGTCCCTAACCCTGGTAGAGTGCGCAGATGTACATATAGTACTATGATGTGAAGAGTATTCCCCTTCATGTAATGGGTTATGTTAAAGATTCCTGGTTTATGCTTTTATTATATGAATACCACTGTCCTGTGGAGTCAATGAATATTGCAGTCTAAGTATTATCTAAAGAATACTAACGTCTCTGGATGTTCAATGGTGAGGAGTCTAAATGTCCGCATAGTACTGTTCTATGAAGGTACTAGTAGTCCAGTTATATGGATCACCTGGAATGCTACTATACCAACAAGAGCATGATGTGTGGAGTGTCCTGCCTTTATGAGTAAAATAACCTTTGCAGTACGATTTTTTGGGAGGGTAATGGTGTGAAAAAAGTATCGTCCTGTTTACAACCTTGTTCTGTGTAGAAAACTCGTATCTGGACAAGATATATTCTGAATGAATATTCATGACTTGCAGTACTATTATGGGAACAGTAGAGATGTATGTATGGTACTCAAAACTACCATGTGCGAACATGCCTGGTACACTGCTATTTGAGGAATGCTGAAGTTGGAACAGTAATATTAAGTGAAGTAAGGGGAAGTGTAGAATTTATGAATTGGCTTTGTGCCGTATGAGCAGAGCCAACCGTTACTCAACTTGTGGAAGTTGCCATAGTACCTCCGTCTGGGGGGTACAGTTGTGTGGGATACAGGAAGAGTGAATTGCACGATTACCTGAAGAACACTGATGTTATGTACAGAGTAGTTTGTCCTGATGAGTACAACTGTCCTTGGAATAGCATTATTTGAAGGGTGCCCATGTTGGGTTAATGGCTCGATGATATGAATTGGGCGATTCTGCAGATCCCACAGGTGGCCTCGAATCATATTGTCTAAACAGTATAGCTATGCCAGGGCCACTATAATGTTAACCGTATTATAGTGTCAAGAATACTGATTCTCGAGGGGTGTCATTATTCGTAGGGTAATATTGTATGAAGTACCCAGATATACCACGAAGGCATATGCCAAGGAAGTAGTGATGTGTCCCCACTTCCCATGGTGACGAAGGCGGAGATTCTCGTAGTACTCTTATATGTGGGTATTAATGGTTGGACTATGCTGATATCTGCAGAGTACTGTCCATTTAGGGGCATAATTGTATAAAACGTACGGATGATCTGCGGCGCAGTCTTGTGAGTGTAGTCATATCTCCCTAGTGTGATGTCTTGGAGTGCAAAATTGTGGTGGGATTCTGGATACCTCCCATGCACAATTATTAAAAGAGGTGGAACATCATGGCCTGTTGTTTAGGCTTCTATTATAGGCAAAGCACCATATTCCGGAATTCATAGCACTCCCTGGAGTGTTATTATATTAATAGCCGTATAATGTGGAACTGGATGATTGGGGGAGTAGCGCTCGAGCAAGTGTACACATGTGCGTGAAGGAGTATTGTCTAAGAATTACTTATTCGATCCCAATGGTAACATTCCCAGAGTACTATTATGTGAACAATGTGGATGTTTGCGAAGTATTCAGATATTAGGAATAGCATTGTGAAGTGAATAGTACTGTACCGAGAGTACTATGATTTAAAGTGTATGAACATGCATGCCGTATCATTATCTTTATCCGTCATCCAGGCCGACAATGATATTGTATGAATAAAACACATGTATCAAGTAGAGAAATATACATAGTGTACCATTAATATATAAGGCATAGCATGATATGAACTGTATATATGTGTCTAAAGTGTCGATGCTGATAAAGAATACAGCTGTATCAAGAATACGATTGTATGGATTTACCGGTTATGCTGTTATTGTAAGGAAGGGAAAATATTTTACAACTAACACAGAGCTTGTAGCACATTCATTTGAAAGAAATTATTGTCCCTGCACTCAGGTGATATGTAGAGAGAAGGGAAAATGAGAAGTGGCATTCTGTGGAGTGCAATGATATTCAAAATACAGTATTGTATGAACAATACGGATATTCTCAAGAACCATCCTTTCAAAGATAGGGATTTTCCTAAAAAATGCCCATCAAAAATGCAAAAGTGTGTGAATTGCGGGCTATGTCTTCCAAATTTCGATTCCTCTTATTTGGACAGCACTAGTCATTGATTAGTATAGATCTCTATGAAATAGTATTATGTGAAGAATTGAGGGCTACATTCTAAAGAAAAGAGCAAGCCATTAATTACGCGCAGGTTCAGGCGCTATAGCTCTGTCGAATGTATTATTACCGGAGTAATACAATTGAGGCACAAATACTTGCATATGAACAATGCAAGGATTCTAGCGGAAATGTTGTTTGTAATGTACAGTGTCGCAGGAATGCTTTTATGTGAAGGACTCATAACATAGCGTTTTAGATAAAACTAATTGAAGAACGTGACTAATGGAAGAATAATGATTTATGTGTAGTATTATTTAAAAAATATCGCTCCCCCCAGGACTACGGGCCTGTGGAATGTACGCTTAGCATACAGCCCTATTATATGAACCATGCGTCTATACCTCCAGTATTATTTTGTGTACTGTATGCATGTCTCCTGAATATTATTCTGCACCAGGTTCATATTTTACAGTTTTTTTTATTTGGAGACTATTATTGGCTGAAGAAAACACATCTCGATGGGGAACCATGATATCAGGAAAATAATCGTGGGGGTTCTATGACTATGACTGGAATACGTTTATATGGAAAAGTTAGGCCAATGGGTGCTATTATTTGAAGAATAGAATGAGGCGAAAAATATACAATTCCTTGGAAGACTAATATATAAAGAGTACATTTTTCGCGACCATTATTAAATATGTGAGATGGAGACATTTCTCTAGAGTATCACTGCATAAACAGTAGGAAAATCCGGGAAGTCCCTATTGTTGAGTCGTCAAGATTTAAAACAGGAAGCACCATAATTTAAAAAGAGATATTTAGTAAGAGATAATAGAGTGGATTCAGCGGTATTCTTGGAGGGAGTCCAATCACTAAGCATTACACATATATAGAAAATACCAGATGCATCCAGTATATTTGTATTAACTGTAAAAAGCGGCATTACAACAACTGTTTAGAGGATAAGATTCTGTCAAGGGGAATATTCTATGTAGAACAGTGCTGTGTAGGGAGGAGAATTGTTTAAGATAATACAAAGGTTTAGAGAGTCGAATTCCTTGAGGAGGACGGCAGTTGTAAAAATCATACCATTTCGAGAAAACAATTGTCTCCAGAGGAATTTTATTCGTGGAATACTAATATGCCAATCATAAGGATATTGACGCTGTATAAGAAAGTGAGGGATACTATCACTAAAAGGGGTTTCAATATACCAAGGATGCGTATATATAGGAAGAAATTTTTATAGGCGAAGTAACACTGTAAGTACAGTAATACATCGTGA